TGTGCTCTTCCGATCTTTTTAAATAAATAATTATGTATAACTTTAACTTTAAAAAACCTTTCTAAAAAAAGTTTGTTAAGATTGTTCAAAAACAAATATGAGATCATACAAGTGACCAAGTATTTGATTAGACAAAGAAAAAAAAATATTTTATTCAAAATCAAAAACATTTTTTTAATAAATCGTTTAAATCATCCAAAAGTATATACAGGAATAATTTAAATAAATGCATTCAAAAGTATATACAGTAAAAATTTAAAGCCATTATCTTTTCAAATAATTTGAAGTTTCATAACTTCTTGCAAATGCTTACTGTTATCCAAATTACCCCACTATTCAAATTATTCCGCTGCAGTACTCTATAAAAGTATAGGCTCTTCAATTCGGTACATGTCCCTCAGTCGAATGTGTGTATGTATTCATTGATGAGTAATAATGTTACCGATTAACACACACACACACACACACGCGCGCGCACACACACACACACACACACGCACGCACGCACGCACGCACGCACACACGCACGCAGACTGCAGAGAGGATGGAGTCATTAAATATACTACGAAAGTGACGAATCGTGGGGTCCTTATCTCTGCTGATACACACACATTCGACTGAGGGTGACATACCGAGACGAAGAGCCTATTTCTATATGCAATGTTAAATTTATAGATCTTCCAGGGCTTATAGCGCGGAAACGGCTCACAGGATCAAGCTGTGTCCATTGAAACATTTGCTCAGAATACTACACGAGAATACTACTATTAAAAAATTAGCCAAATCCACAGAAAGACATTTTTCCATAAGAATGGTGCGAGGTCCTTTCACTTTATAACTAGAATACCTTTCTTTGGGGATCTCTGATGCCATATTTTCAGAACTCTTTCGGTACTTGACAGGCGAGATTCATCGGAACCAGGTACGATATTTTTATGTTCACGTTCTAGTTGGGTGATGTTCTTTTGGCAATCGCCGAATTGAACAGCGATGCTGAGGATGAAGAGCACGAAGAGGCAAACGAATACACGTGGCATCGCGCTGTCTATTCACCCAGATTAAATGATGGCAAGGCAATAGAATCCTATTAACACACATAATGTCCTAATCGTCGATAAATAAATCGAGATGAGAAAGATAAATTTCAGTATAAAATAAACAATTAGCTCCCACAGCGATTTTGAATTTCAGACATTAGAATAGAGATGATTGATTATGTATAATTGCAAATGGAAAATATTCTGATATAAAAAAATATTTAAAAGAAAACTCTTTTATTTGCTAATGCTTATAATCTGTCTCTTATACAC